ATGTAACCACAATTCTGATCTCATTTTCTATGAGTTTGTTTTTGAAGTGTGATTGACCTGCAACACTATGTTAGTTCCTGGTGTACAACACAGTGATTTAGTATTTCCATACATTTAAAAATGATCCTCATGATAAGCCTAGTTACTATTTGTCATTCTACCAAGACATTATATAATTATTGACTATATTACCCCCACATTGTACGTTTCATACCCATGACTCATTTATTTTGTAACTGCAAGTTTATACATCTTAATCTCTCCCACCTATTCCTCTCCTCTTTCCACCTGGTAGCCAGATTCTTTAACGCACAGGTTCGCTTTCCCTGAACCACCCTAAGCAAAATATTCCTGGATAAAAACCAGCCTTCTTATATTCATAGTGGAGTTTTCCATGAAGTAAAAAATGTGAAACAACAAAGTGCGAACAGAAAAAGAATATTAGGTCCATTTTGATACAATCATTAGATCTCTTATCTTGAGGCTTGAAAGTGTTATTTAAAGTAACAGTATATGGAAAAGTATTGTCTTCATGATTTCAGTATATTTCACTCTGTTTGGGAACATTCTGGGAGGAAACTCACAGAAGCACTAACAGTGGTTGTCTTTCCTACTGAAGAGGCAGGAGAATGAAATGTAGTCAGGAACGTGAACTCTGAGTCCAAACGCCTGGGTTTAACTCCCAGCTCTGCCACTTCAGTAACTGTTTAACTCTGATGTGGAAGAGCTATTGGAATGGGGCATGTTTTAAGTTCACTGTGATTAAATTTCTGTGTGAGTAAATTGGTGGTAAATTAGTACCTAGGTCCTGGGATTTTTTTGAGGATTAAATATACTAATATAAGCCAGGAAAGGAAGGAGAAGGAAATGGCAACCCACTCCAGTATTCTTGCCTGGAAAACCCCATGGACAGAGGAACCTGGCAGGCTGCAGTCTATGGGGTCTCAAAAGAGTTGGATACTACTTAGTGACTAAATACAGGCAAAGCACTTAACAGCAATGTTTGGCAAATAGTAAGACCTCAATAGCATTAGCTATTTGCTGTTTAAATGGCAAAGCAAATAAAGGCAGGGTTTTGCATGGACTTTTCCACCTTTTCCCAATCAACTTTTCTGTCTCAAACCTGTTACTGTTATACTGAGGGAAAGCAATAAATATTTTTCTGAAGGTCTTGAAAACTGGGTCAGCTGGATTTTCTAGTAAACATAGATTCAGCTCATAATTGGGCTATCATAGATTCAGCTCATGATTGGGATATCACCGTGTGTAATCAAATGGATACTTCATTGTTGCTGGAATCCAAGAATTGAAATTGGAAGTTTCAGTAACAACTGAAATGAACTTTGTGTCTCATTTCATAAGAAGTTAGGATGGCTCAGTTTCCTTAAAGGAAAGCTTGCTTCCTTTGGAAAAACTTGTGTTCACACAGTATTCACTTCCCCAACCTCTAGCCTCTAGACTACTCAGTACTTCTCTATAACTCACATGTTTTAGTAATAGCAGGGCAAAATTTTTGAAAATATTTATAATAATGGAATAAGCACATTTTAGGGGTCAAGGATTAGCAAACACCCTCTTCCAATAACACAAGAGAAGACTCTACAACACGGACATCACCAGATGGTCAATACCAAAATCAGGTTGATTATATTCTTTGCAGCAAATGATGGAGAAGCTCTATACAGTCAGCAAAAACAAGACCAGGAGCTGACTGTAGCTCAGATCATGAACTCCTTATTGCCAAATTCAGACTTAAATTGAAGAAAGTAGGGAAAACCACTAGACCATTCAGGTATGATCTAAATCAAATCCCTTACGATTATACAGTGGAAGTGAGAAATAGATTTATGAGACTAGATTTGATAGACAGAGTGCCTGGTGAACTATGGACGGAGGTTCGTGACATTGTACAGGAGAGAGGAGACATTGTACAGAAGACCATCCCCAAGAAAAAGAATGCAAAAAAGCAAAATGGCTGTCTGAGAAGCCCTTACAAATAGCTGTGAAAAGAAGAGAAGCTACAAGCAAAGGAGAAAAGGAAAGATATACCCGTTTGAATTCAGAGTTCCAAAGAATAGCAAGGAGAGATAAGAAAGCCTTCCTCAGTGATCAGTGCAAAGAAATAGGAAAACTAGGAAGACTAGAGATCTCTTCAAGAAAATTAGAGATACCAAGGGAACATTTCATGCAAAGATGGACACAATAAAGGACAGAAATGGTATGGACCTAACAGAAGCAGAAGATATTAAGAAAAGGTGGCAAGAATACACAGAAGAACTGCACAAAAAAGATCTTCATGACCCAGATAATCACGATGGTGTGATCACTCACCTAGAGCCAGACATCCTGGAATGTGAAGTCAAGTGGGCCTGAGGAAGCATCACTATGAACAAAGCTAGTGGAGGTGATGGAATCCCAGCTGAGCTATTTCAAATCCTAAAAGATGATGCTGTGAAAGTGCTGCACTCAATATGCCAGCAGATTTGGAAAACTCATCAGTGGCCACAGGACTGGAAAAGTTCAGTTTTCATTCCAATCCCAAAGAAAGGCAATGCTAAACAAAGTTCAAACTATCGCACAATTGCACTCATCTCACACACTAGTAAAGTAATGCTCAAAATTCTCCAAGCCAGGCTTCAGCAATACATGAACCATGAACTTCCAGGTGTTTAAGCTGGTTTTAGAAAAGGCAGAGGAACCAGAGATCAAATTGCCAGCATCCACTGGATCATCGAAAAAGCAAGAGGGTTCCAGAAAAACATTTATTTCTGCTTTATTGACTATGCCAAAGACTTTGACTGTGTGGATCACAATAAACTGGAAAATTCTGAAAGAGATGGGAATCCCAGACCACCTGACCTGCCTCTTGAGAAATCTGTATGCAAGTCAGGAAGCAACAGTCAGAACTGGACATGGAACAAGAGACTGGTTCCAAATAGGAAAAGGAGTTTGTTAAGGCTGTATATTGTCACCCTGCTTATTTAACTTATATGCAGGGTACATCATGAGAAACGCTGGGCTGGAAGAAGCACAAGCTGGAATCAAGATTGTCAGGAGAAATATCAATAACCTCAGATATGCAGATGACACCACCCTCATGGCAGAAAGTAAAGAAGAACTAAAGAGCCTCTTGATGAAAGTGAAAAAGGAGAGTGAAAAAGTTGGCTTAAAACTCAACAGTCACAAAACTAAGATCATGGCATCCAGTCCCATCACTTCATGGCAAATAGATGGGGAAACAGTGGAAACAGTGTCTGACTTTATTGTTTTGGACTCCAAAATCACTGCAGATGGTGACTGCAGCCATGAGATTAAAAGACGCTTGCTCCTTGGAAGAAAAGCTATGACTAACCTAGACAGCATGTTAAAAAGCAGAGATATTACTTTGCCAACAAAGGTCCGTCTAGTCAAGGCTATGGTTTTTCCAGTAGTCATGTATAGATGTGAGAGTTGGACTATAAAGAAAGCTGAGTGCTGACTAATGCCTTTGAACTGTGGTGTTGGAGAAGACTCTTGAGAGTCCCTTGGACTGCAAGGAGATCCAATCAGTCCATCCTAGAGGAGATCAGTCCTAAGTGGTCATTGGAAGGACTGATGTTGTGGCTGAAACTCCAATCCTTTGGCCATCTGGTGCGGAGAGCTGACTCATTTGAAAAGATCCTGATGCTGGGAAAGATTGAGGGCAGGAGAAGGGGACGACAGAGGATGAGATGGTTGGATCGCATCACCGACTCAATGGAGATGAGTTTGAGTAAACTCCAGAAGTTGGTGATGGACAGGGAGGCCTGGCGTGCTGTGGTCACAAAATCCAACACGACTGAGCGACTAAACTGAACTGAACTGAGGGGTCAAGGAAACTTAATTAGGGAAAGGGGAGAGGGAGTAAATTTATTCACTAAATTTGTTAATTTCTAAACATTTCCAAAGGTATCATGCATAATTTGATTTCTGCATAAAGTTATTAAATATTTTAAAATTCTATTTATTTATTTTTGACTCCACTGGGTCTTCATTGCTTGGCTTGACTTTCTCTAGTTGTGGCAAGCAGGGGTTACTCTCTAGTTGCAATGTGCGTGCTTCTCATTGCAGAGCACAGGCTCTTGGGTTTGCGGGCTTCAGTAGTCACATCTCATGGACCTTAAAGCATGGGCTCAGTAGGTGTGGTATACAGGCTTAGCTGCCCCTCAGCATGTGGAATCTTCCTGGACCAAGGATTGAACCCATGTCCTCTGCATTGGCAGACAGATTCTTAACCACCGCAGCACCACAGAGTACTTCATTTTGATATTTTTTAAAGTTCCAAGAGCAGAATCAAGTTAAGGGAAAAATTGCTTTTTCTCTCCCCTACTATCCCCTAAGTTTTTCAGGGAAGATTTTTGGAAAGTCTCTGGTAATTTTGAAATCCTCTCTTGCCAGCAACTACAGGATAGTTGCCAAAGCAATATCAGGACCATGTAGACAAAAAGTGTGGTATGTAGATAGGGGGATGATGAAAATGGATTCACAGTGTGAGCAAGAGGAGTTTTTTTAATTGTAAAAAATAAAATTACACTACCCTTTATAAGTGGTTATGTCAGCAATTCTAACATCTGTTGTTACAAAGAAACTTGACTATAATAAGCCTTTCCCCCCTATATTGCCTTGTGTATGGGTACATGCTTTGTTTCCTAGATATGCCCCAGTCTTTATAACTTTGTCCTGGGCTGTGTCAAACTTGGTTGCAAGTTAGACAAAGAAATTTTTCATTGGCTAAGACCAGGAACATTTTTTTTCTCTAACTTCTATTTGAAGCCCTGAATTCCACCAGACCCTTTGAGATTATGGTTGAAAAGACAGGCAACATCCCTTGCAGGAAAGCAGCACAAATATTTGCTGCTTAAATAAATTGATTCTTGTTAGACAGGCATGATCACCAGCCAAATTCTTTGATATTTTTGTAGGCTTGTTACAGTTTCAATAAAAGACTCAACTTTTCTTCCTTGTTTTTCTTTTTCCTTCAGGTACAATCCTTGGATTTACCCTTCGACCATACAGAATGAGCTACCGGGAAGTCAAGTACTTCTCTTTTCCTGGGGAGCTACTGATGAGGATGCTACAGATGCTGGTGTTACCCCTCATCATCTCCAGTCTTGTCACAGGTACCCTATGCAGTTTTGTTTTGTTTTTTTATTGTGTGCTTATTGCCAAAGATCGCTTAGAAAAACAAACGCTTTAGGTTTCTGCTGGATGCATGCTCTGTTCTAGAAAATAAAAGTCCCTTCAAAATGATGGAAAGGAGGCTTCAGTAATGCATGAATGATTATAACTCTCGTATTTTACCAATCACAAGAGGAAACGGATTTGAACTGCCAAGTAATCTGGTCTGCCTCGCTACGAAAGAGGCACCCTGCTAGACACTACACCACCAGCCTTCTCTGCCCACAGCGATGTAGTTGACAACAGCGTACAACAGGTCTGTTTTCTCACCCTCTTATCCCACCCAGATAACATCTGGTTGGACAGCCTATTAGCTATTGATGCAAGAATGCTTGTTCTCAGAGCCACCACGACTTGAGCGGGAGCCTTCTTGGAAGCCTCATCAAGAGGTAATGCCCACGACACACTCACCAATCCTACTGCCACCAACACTGTATCTTTTCCTGGTGAGCCCGCATGACTCCTCCATTGTCCCCCACCCCCGTTGCCTTTTACGCTGGTGGGAGAATGGGGAGGGGGTGGGAGATTTCCCCATCCAGATACTTTTGTCAGTTGACACTTGGATTGTTGAGGCGTGGAAGCTTGGCAGGCTAGGATTCTTATTCTCTATGAATGCGAAATAATGATTTACGCCCGCGTGGGAAACGGTTTAAGAGTACATATGATTGGTGAATACGAACAGAGCCAGAAGTTTCAGAAAAATGTTGCTGTACGTTCCTCCCTGCCCACTGTTCTCTTTCCCCGCAGCACATCTCTGACTTGGAGAAGGAATATCCGTAGACACTACCCCCAGCAGGATGGTTTCTGGGTTTGTAGCTCAAGCCCAGACCTCAGGTATTACTAGCCCTGTTTTCTTTTCCGTCCTTGGCTTACTGTCCACCCTTAGGCAGATCATTCTGTGAGCTGGCTCTCAGCATCTTTTCACCTCCCAGGAGTTCGTAGGGATGTTTATAATCTCCTTTCAAGATCTCTGTGTAAAAAGAACTTCATAGAGCAACTCAAAAGTCTTGAAGCAAGATTCTGACTGCTTCATGCCCTAAAGGGCTGGCCATTACTTGGAACAGAAACTACGTCAGTTTCTTTTTTTTTTCCCCAATGCCTTGCAAATCTCTGCTGGCTTCTACTTGCCCAGGTCTTCAAACAAGTGATTGCATGAACATAAAGCTCCCATTGGAGGATGAGTTGCCCATAAAACAGTCATTTAGACAGGATGATTTGGGACACTTGTTTTTGAAACTGGCCTGGCCCATTCCTGACCAGAGGTAATCACAGCCGGCCACAATTCTTATCAGAGAAGCTACATTCATACTGAGGTGAAGGCATGTCCTTATTATGCATTTGCTGCCATTTTTCTGAGAAGCAAGTTCTTGCAGCAAGCGCTCAGAGGACAGAACTCACATCTGCCATTTTGTTTAGTGGAACAGGGAGTCCCTTCCCACCACCCTATGGCTGGAGTCTGAATTGAGTACCTGCAGTTTTCCTGGATGCAAACTGGGAGTCCTATGTTCCTTTATGCTCTCTCTTCAATGGTGAGGCCAGTGTTTAGAGGCTTCTGCTTTCTGGTAATTGTGCTTTAAAAAAAAAACCCACTGTGTTACCCTTTATAAGAGGAGAGCCCTTGTTCAGTACAACTAGAGAAAATATTAGTTCCCTTTAGCAATCCTAGTTAACAGTTACTTTGAAGTAGAACTCCGGAGTGTTTTCTCATACTTAATACATCAACTTTGTTGCTGGAGCTTTGGTTGAGTAATTTTTCAGGGGGAAAAAAAAAAAACAGCAACACTATGAGGCAGTCCCTCTGCTTGGTTAAAAAGAAACTGTGTGTAAACTTTGGAGAAATTATCAAATTTATGATATATGTGTTAAAGAGAAAGGAATTTTAAACTGTGAACAGCCAGTATAAAATGAACCTTTAAAAGGTAACCTAATTGCAAGTTGGGAATGCCACCACTTGGGACCATTAAAAGAGTCTCAGTTCTTTTCTAGGATTGTTAAGGCAAGGGACATAATGAAGTTTGCTAAAGATCTTTTCAAGGTGTTCGTCTCAAAGGAATAATTTCTAAGCTACATGATAATTTAGACACTTATGATCAAATGGAATGAATGATAGATTCAATAAGAATTTCTTTCATGATTTGAAGTGCAGTGATTCTGAACCAAAGCAGGATGTGATCCAGTGTAAATAAGGAGGTCCCCTTTGGGGACTTTTGCAAATTACACGTACACAAGAGGATCTCTGTGTGTGTTGGGAAGCATTACTGGCAAATGTGTTAGGAGAGGACAAAGTGAGGGCCCAATATTTTAGAATGGAAAAGCAAGCTCAAATGCCTCCAGTGGCCAAGCAGGTGAGGGATCTTTATATATGAAGTTGCCCTTTCAGGCTCCTTTTTGTTTTCCTACTGGATAAGAGACGTGGATACAGGGAAATATTTCTCTTCAATGGAAGAGGTAGCAGGGATGAGTGTGACGATAAATGGAAAGTGACCCACTGCAGAACAGTGTAGACAAAGGGAGGAAAGGATGTGATTATGACCTGAAAACTGTCAACTCCATCCAATTGTTGCCATGTGTCAGTAAGGGCCAAATCTTCCAATTTTTCAAAAGAATCCAGAAATCCAAAAATTGATAAGAACCTAGATTTTTTTTAAAATTTTATTTATTTTTGGCTGTGCTGGGTCTTTATTGCTGTGCACAGGCTTTCTTTAGTTGAAGTGAGCAGGCTTCTCATTGCAATGGCTTCTCTTGTTGCAAAGCACAGGCTCTAGAGCATGGGCTAAGTAGCTGTGGACACAGGCTTATTTGCTCCATAGCATGTGGGATCTTCCTGGACCAGGGATTGAACCCATGTCTCTTGCATGGACAGGCAGATTCTTAACCACTGGACCACTAGGGAAGTCCAGAACCTAGATTTTTTTAAACGTTGATGTAGGTAACAGAACAAAACAGTACAAGCCAAACAAAGCACATCTGCAGGCTCAGTCCAACACTTGGGCCACCAAATACTGGAACTCAGGTTTCGGTGTGGGTGCTATTAATTATAACAAACACACTGATAGGCTTGTGCATGCATCAGCCTATCGCTGGGTTTCATATGTTGCCTTATTCCACTTGGCAGTTCCGTGTCAAAGCTTAACTTAACATGGAATCAGCTACTGAACACCACATTTATTGTCTGCTAAACAAGCAACTGTTGGAAAATCTGTCCATCTTCTGTGTTATAAACATGTTGTGTTCTGGCCATGCTGGCCTTTTCGGCACCCATCAGGAACACGAGAACTCAGCACTCTTTAAATTCAAAAGTCCCAGGGTCTGGGCAGGCAGAACTTGGAATGCATGAAACCCTTACTGCATTGCCTGCATTTGCCATTTTGTTTTAGAAGGTTCTGTGTGTTGTTTTTTCTTTAATTAATTAATTAATATATTTTAGGCTGTGCTGGGTCGTCGTTGCTGCGCCGGCTTTTCTCTAGTTGTGGAGAAAACTTGGGTGCAGTGTGCAGGTTTCTCACTGTTGTGGGTTCTCTTGTGGTGCACGAACTCCAGTAGTTTCGGCAAGTGGGCTCAGTAGCTCAGTCCCTGGGCCCTGGAGCACAGGCTCAGAGGCTGTGGCTCGCTGGCTCTCGAGTGCGCGGGCTTCGGTGGTTGTGCTATGCAGGCTCTAGAACACTGAGTTGGTAGTTATGGCGCACGGACTTAGTTGCTCCACAGCATGTGGGATCTTCCCAGAGCAGGGATCCAACCTGCAACTCCTGCACTGGCAGGCAGATTCTTGACCAATGAGCCAACAGGGAAGCCGGTCCTGTATGTTTTTAATTCCATTTAAACTCTGAGAAATTTAAGTTAGATTTTCACACTTGGAGCATCCCTCTTGGTGAATTGTGACACTAGAGACCCTGTAAGCCATGTTCTCCTTTTCTCAAAGTTGAAATTTCAATCCTTCCTAACATCCTTGGTATGTATTAGCATTCCAGAAGCTGCCAGAGAGAAGCCAGGAGAAAGCCTAACGGCTAGATTTGTACTCAAGTACCTATTTTTTTGAACAAAAGGAATACATCTGTGCCAACATACCACACAATAAAATGGGAAGTTGGCACCAATTTCTATTGATTTGGTCAAGATAGGCAACCAGACTAGATATTTCATGCCAGAAATATGAGTTCGTTTGACTGACTTAACCCTGATTAAATTCACTAGGTAATAGTTAGACTCCATTTCAGGTTGCTCTGTGTAGACATAGCTACCACCTCACCTCCCCCTTACTTTGGAATCTTTTCAGAAAACTAGTGCCTTCTTTTCTCATTCTGAGTGTGCATTCCTGCTCAATCTCTTACCCTGCAAGAAATCATCTGTGTCTCCAGTTTTCTGGAAGGGGAAAGCATCCCTTTTGACAAACAATCTTCCAAATCTTTAGACCCATGAATTCAGTGGAATGTGGGACTTCAGAATAGGTGACGCCAACAAGCTCCACTCAGCAAAGGGCTCCCTTACTTGAGAAAACAGAAGTAGAGACAGTGAATGGTGAACCTCAAAACCCCTTAGTGTCAAAGAAAAGACAGCTACAATAAGAATGGCCTAAAGCTTTGTCTTTTCATTTAACACAAGAGGGCAAGCAATAAGCTAGACAATTCTTGGTTCTTGGAAATATGAAGGTTTTGAGAAGGTCTTGCAAAAATGAAAGCCCAAACACATAAGAAAAATTTACTATTTTAAATGATACATTGTCGTGGCTGAGGGGTATCTCTGAGGCCTTGATGAAATACTCCAGGTGCTTATGTACAAGAAAAGAGACAGTAGATTTCTTTCCTTTTTTCCCCTACACATACATTTCATTGAAGAAGGAAATATATCTATCTCTGGTGGGGAGGAGTGCCTTTGAGCCTCCTTTTCATTCTCTGTAAAATGAATTCATTCATGGTAACTGTGTTGTGGGTCTCTTCTGAGGATT